CACCCTAACCCTGACCCTCACCCTAACCCTAACGACTTCGACTTCGACTTGATCGACGAGGTCACTCCTCGTGGTGCTCCCCTAGTCTCGTGCCCTCGTGCTCTCGTATCCTCGCATCCTCTTGCCCTCTCCTCTTCTCTGACCCTCCTTCCTCATCGACCAGGTCTGCACCGACGTCACCCACTACGACAACGGCGGCCAGCTCGGCAAGCCGTGCCGCTTCGTCTACTACCCGATGACCTTCTCCGAGTTTCAGAAGCTCAAGCCCGAGATCGCCGCCGGCCTCCCGCGCATCGACAGCGGCCCGCCGAAGTCGGCCTCGCAGCCGGCGTCGGAGGTGTCGGGCTCGGAGGACGTGTCGGAGCTGTCCGAGTCGATGTCGTCCGTCTCGGCCTCCGAGTCGGCCGCGAATGATTAGTTGAGTCACCACTACTCCGTTGATGAATAGGTCGTCCGTGTCGGTCTCCGAGTCGAACGCGTCCGAGGGCTCCGGCCTCTCCACGACTCTCGCAAAGGTCGACGAGATGATTGCGGCGGGCCTCATCCTGCCGATGAACTTCCCCGACCCGGGCGAGCCAGAGGGGACCCGCACGTTCCGCAAGCCGAGATTGCCCGAGGTTTACCCGAGATTGCCCGAGATTAGGCAAGCCCGAGGGGATCCGCACGTTCCGCAAGCCGAGATTGCCCGAGGTTTACCCGAGATTGCCCGAGATTAGGCAAGCCCGAGGGGATCCGCACGTTCCGCAAGCCGGTGATGACCCTCAAAAAGTGCTCCTTCAAGTACCCCGAGACGGACCGGTACATCCTGAAGGAGGTCGACGCCACCGTCACGCTCGGCTCGCGCGCCGTGATCGTCGGCGGCAACGGCTCAGGCCTCTCGACCCTCCTCGTGGTCGGGACATGTCCAGGACACGTCCGCGACATGTCCGAGACGCGTCCCGTAGGCAAGTCGACCTTCCTCAAGCTTCTCATCGGCGACCTCGAGCCCGAGGAGGGGCAGGGGGAGATGTGGAAGCACCACGCGCTGCGCCTCTCGTGCGCTGCGCAGCCGCCGCTCCGCCGCCCCTCCCCACCCCGTCCCCACCCCCCTCCCACCCCGCCTCAACAGGTATGTCGCGCAGCAGTCGCTCCACCACCTCGAGGACCACGTCACGTCGACGCCCATCCAGTACCTCCAGGCACGCACACAGCACAACACACCACACACGCACCGCGCGCACGCAGCACGCGCGCACACACACACCACGCGCACGCACGCGCACGCGCACACACACGCACACACGCGCACACACCGCTCGCCCACACCGCTCACCCACGCGCACCGGGCAATGCACTTTGAATGCCTGAGTCGCGAGGGACTAGCCCGGCCCTCGCCCCACCACCCTCGTGTGTGGAGAAAAGTTGACTTCGCCCCACTTCGCCCCACCTCGCCTCACCTCGCCCCACCTCGCCTCACCTCGCCTTGCCTTGCGGGGCCTCACCTTGCCTCGCCTCGCCTCGCCTCGCCTCGCCTCACCTCGCCCCCACCTCGCCCCCAGGCGCGCTTCCGGCAGGGCCTCGACGCGGAGGTGGCCAAGCTCAAGTCGATCGCTCTCACCGACGACGAGAAGGCGGAGATGGAGAAGGGCTCGGCCATCTCCGCCATCGTCGGCCGCACGACCTGTTCACAGCTGCAGGTGTGAAGAGGAGCAGCTGTGAACAGGCCATCTACGCGATCGTCGGCCGCACGACCAAGGGCAACAAGCCGTAGTACGAGTTCCAGCAGCTGTGAACAGCGTCTCTTCACACCTGCAGCTGTGAACAGGCAACAAGCCGTGGTACGAGTTCCAGCAGCGCGGCAAGATGAAGGCCGAGACGCAGTCGCTCCCGTTCGCCGAGATCCAGCTGCGCTTCCCGCCGTACGTGCAGAAGCTCATCAAGAACTACGACCAAAAGGCGCAGGCAATCGAGTCCGGGATGGCCATCCGACCGATCACCGAGGCCGAGGTGCGCGCCCCTGCCGTTGCGCCGCCGTCGCCGCCGCCCACCACCAACATTCCGACCCCCACTCAGCCCCTCGGCGCCCCCCTCCCGCCGCACGCGCGCCGCACGACCCCCGCACGCCGCGCCCCGCCCCCGCGCCGCAGGTGCTCAAGCACCTCGGCGACTTCGGCATCGACCAGCAGCTGGCGTTCGGCAAGATCCGCCAAATGTCGGGCGGGCAGCGGCAGCGGCTCGTCATCTGCGCGGCGTTCTGGTCAAAGCCGCACGTCATCGCGCTCGACGAGCCGACCAACTACCTCGACAACGACTCCGTCGCCGCGCTCACCAAGGCGCTCAAGGACTTCAAGGGCGCCGTCGTCACCGTCTCGGAGAACGAGGCGTTCGTCAACGAGATCTCGAACGAAAAGTGGGTCGTCGAAGAGGCTGCGGTCACGCTCGTGCAGCTGCGCGACGCGAAGGCACGCTGAAGTGCGCTGTGGACGCTCTCTCTCCTGCGGGCTGGCGGCTGCCACGCCGCTCACCTGCTCCACCTGCCCAGGAGCCCGCCCCGCCCCCGGCTCCCGTGTCTCAGCGAGCCAGCAGCAGCGACACACTTCTTCCCGGGAGAGTACACCGCTCGATATTATGTAAAGCGGGGGGGGAAATCTCGTAACTTCCTTACTGGAGAGCGCCATGCACGCGCGCGCGCCACAGACCACTCGTCTCGAGAGCACAGACCCCTCAGTCATCGCCCCCAGCCCACCCGCGCGCAGCCCCCCATGACGGGCGGTGTGGAGGGTGAGTTGAACAGGGGGTTGTGCGCCGGGCCCTCCTGCTCCGCCGCAGGCGCCTGTTGATAGGTCCATGTGATAGCCCTGGATGGGCAATGCATACGCCTCACTGGACCTCAGATCGCCCGACCGCGTCCCGGTGCTCTGCCGTCGGATTTGTGACGCCGCCGCACCGCGCCGCGGGGTTGTTGCACGAGTATATGGGCCACGATGTCTCACATATGAGGGGTTTTGACTCCTACCGGCTCCTGACGCAAACACTGCGCCGTCCCGCCATCACCTACAGGCTGTCTTGTGTGATGGTTGGGATGTCCAAACGCCACCATCTTGGCTCTTGCGACCTCAAACCCGCGAGCTGTATGGGTGGTCCTGACGTCGACAGACGCCCAATGACCACGGTGAAGCTGAGATGGAACGAGTCGACAAGTCTCGTCTGAGCCCGTGGCGGTCGCCGGCTGAGTCGCCGTGCACGGGCCGGTACCTCAGGCGTCACCTCCGCAGCCTCAGTTCTCAAACTCCACCACCTCCGCCAGGACGCCGTCGGTGGCACGTTCGGCGGCGTACTTTCTGCAGCTCCATCTCGAGTACGGCGTCGAGCCTACTCACTCCTGTTGGATCTGTGCACTCCCTGGGACCCAGGGAGTGCACAGATCCAGCAAGCGGTGCGTCCCGGCAGCGCGCGCAGGCTGCGGAGCTGCAACAAACTCGAGACACGCTTTTTTCGGACATTTTCGACGCTTTTGGCCCATATACTCGTGCAACAACCCCGCGGCCGGGGTATGATGTAACATACTTCCGGGCCGGTGTGCGGGGAGCGAACCTTAACGACCGCGCAGAAGCTTTCTGAGCGAACCAATCGGGCCAGGATCATCAGCATATGTCCCCTGCACAACATCGTGGGCGTTTGAGCGGTATTTGAGGAGCACCGCGACTCTGAAGTTCGGCCGGGTGGTCTGCAGACCCCCCCCCCCGGAGCAGCAGAGGCTCCGTGGGGTCGAAAAGTCGACGCTGGGAGTCGCACTCGTCAAACCGTCGCAACACCACGCGGTCCGCACGTACCTCCCACATCCCCTCCACCGCTGAGAAGGCGCAGATCGACCGCCGGGCCGCGTAGTCGTCGTTAAGGAGCGGTTTTTGGAGCCGTACGAAGAGGTCCCAGACGGGCGAAGATGCGGTTTTTCGACGACCACACGCGATGTGGTATCTGGTTTTTGCTAAAAACGGGCCGCCTAGTGCAGCATCACTAGTACAACACGCAACCACACTGAAAGCTCCACACTAGCCGGTATAGGCGAGCGCCGACGGCGTCACGGTCGCCGGAGTGGACGCACTGCACACACACTGTGACCGTGTCGTGGGTGTGACAGTGCGCGACACAACCGTCGGCGCCGCGCTATCGCGGCGCCCCGCAGTCTACACGCCTCAGGCACACCCTTGAACGCGCCATGGGCGCGCACATACACCGCAGCGCCGTGGAGAATCCACACCTGGCCGGTCCCGAGCCCCGTCCTGGGCCTCCAGGCGGCCGAAGATCGGCGTTCGGGCGTGATGAACTTGTCGGAAATGGAGCAAACTTGGCGCGGCTCGTCGCTCGCGGTACCGGGTGAGCCTGGATAGGGCAAAATCTGGGGTGAATACGAGGGACAGAGGTCGCAAGTTTGTCGCGCAAGTTTGCGCGGCGTGGCGCTGCCCCGCTGCCGAGGGCGCCACCAACCCGTGGCGGCGGCATTTCCAGCCCAAATTGGGCGTTCCGTGCGCCTTGCCGGCGAGAGTGGACGGGCTGTGCATCGTTGGAGGGGGTGAGTGGGAGGGAGGTGGTCGTGTGCCTACTTTGTCGGCCGCGCGCGAGGAAAATACTGGGTGTGAGGCGCGCAGGAGGCGAGGGCGGGCGCGCCGGCGGTCGAGTTACCGAACAATTCGACGTGGCGCAGCTCCGCGCCGGCGGGGACGACCGAGCACATGATGTCGGCGGCGGTTACGCGACGAGGGAGAGCCGCAGGAGCCCTCTGTGGAGCAGGCGCGCGAAAGCAGCGATGAGTGGCGCTTCGATCAGCCACCTGTGGGCGGTCATCGGGGTGACGCCACGCCTCAGCGAGCTGGATCCGGGAAGGGCAAGGGGTCACGCGGGCCCTGTCTGCAGCAGCAGTGCTAACTAGAACGACAAAATTCCGGATGGACCGGAGAGTGTCTACTCTTTCGACGCACCGTCCTCGGGCCCCTCGAAAAGCTGGCTGGTGGTCGCGCGCGGCGCGTCAGCGCCACTCCGACTGGTCGGGCACCTCGGCTGGGTCCATCAGCAAGAGGCCCGCCCCGTCGGGCGGCCCCGGGAGCGCATGATGCCCCTCCGAGAGGCGCTGACGCCCCGCCGAGATCGCGCTGGTTTGGCACGAAAAACACCAGGCGCCAAGGGGGGGGGTCAAGTATGTTACATCATAGGGGGCCCTCCGGAGGCCGAGGATGGCCGTGGCGGACCGGGACGAGCTCTGGGAGGGGGGGTGTCAGTGAGTATATTGTAGAGACTGGCCATGTGCACAATAACTCTCAGTCTAGCTAAGCGAGGGGAGGCGATTCCGGGGCCGTACAGCAGCTTGACGTGCTTCGCCGGCGTGCGTCCCGGAGCGGTGCCGGAGCGCGGCGAAATCGGGGGACACCGTCACCGACGAGCGCGTTGGACTTTTCACTCCGGACAAAGACGGGCACACAGCGGACGGTGCGGGGCGTGTGCCCGTCATAGCGGCGAGGCGCGGGACCGTCTGTGGCGAAGTGGGTCGCGTCCCCCGATTTCGTTCAACCCAGCATCCACACCCTTTACACGCAGCCGCCGGCGAGGACCGAGGTAAGTAAGGTTTAAGGTGGTAAGGACTTAGGTAATTTCTCCACACACGCGAGGTGGTGAGGCAAGGGGGGGCGGGCGACCCTCGCGTCTCCACGTCTAGACGACAGGAGCCCCGCGGCATTAAAGAGTTTTACGCGTACGGCGGGTGTGCGGGGCCGCGGGGAGGCTGAGAGTTGCACACAGGGGTTGTGCTTGTGGCCGGACCCTCCTGCTCGGCTCCAGTGAGTAGACATGTTTGGCGCCAGCAGAGCAGAAGGGTCTGATCTTGGCGCCGATCGCTGGTAGCGTGGTTTTACCTCACCCCCGCATGGTCTCACACGGTGTGCCGGCAGTCGCGAGCAGTGTCGAGCTCACACAAGCCGCAGCAGCATCAGTGACTGAGCACAAGTGACTGAGGGCCGATCGAGAATTCTTAGCGATGTCTGCTGTGAGAGAGAGAGTTGTTTCCAATCCGCCCAATCTCTCAGTTCTCCCCTCATCTTAGTTAGCTGCAAGCCCACCGCCCCGCGCGCCTCCGCGCCTGAAATTGTTCGCTGCCACGACAGCGTTTTCTTTGTTTGCCCACTCCGGCCTGAGAATTCAATTCGCTGCCACGAGGGGGGTCGGGAGGCAGTAAGCCGTTGTCGCCCGGCGCTGCTTGCATCACCTGCGATGGCGCTAAGAGCCCCCCCCCCCCCCCCCAAGGCGCCCGATACACTCACCCCAAGAATACAGCTCCCCATTCGCGTTACACCAATCCTCGCTACCCAACGCGGCCAACGCGGCCAAAGGATATCCATGTCGAAAACCTCGAGAACAGCTCCACTCACACAAGCCCAGGGACAAAGGAGGGCGCCAGCAACAGCCCTTGGTGTGAAAAAATATTCGAGGGAACACCAAAAACTTCGCGCTATCCGGCAACCTAGACTCTCGACGCGGCTATCGGGCAACCTAGAGAGCTGCTCAGCGCAGTGGCGCGCATGGAGAGGGAGGTGCTCTAGAGGCCCGTACGAAGAGCGGGCGAAGGGGGATCGTCTTGCCGGCTCGAGCCGAATGCACTGAGTAATGTATCGGACAATCTGATTCTCTGTTGCCAACCCTGAAGTGTGTTTTGGGACTTGGGCGGGGGCCAATTTACTATCTTCCATGTTGCTCAAAGACGTCGGATACACGGGCTCGAAGTGTCGAGAGGCGTCTCCACAACGCTGCCCTGGCAAGTGCGCACCCCCCCCCCCCTCTATCACAAGTCCACATATCTCACTCGAGCAGGCGCACATCGCTTCCAGGGAGGGGGGCGCACTTCTGCTCACACCACATGCTAGGGGGGTGGTCCGACCCCCCCCAGAGGCTTCACCACATGCTGGTGGGGGGTCCCGCCCCCCCCAGCACCTTCACCACATGCTGGGGGGGGGGGGGGGGGGGCCGGGCCCAAGACCCCCCCCAAAAATCCGGGGGAGAACCCCCCGGGCCTTGGATTTCCCCATTTCGCCCCCATTCCCAGCATTTTTCAGGAAAAAAACACCCTTTTGGGGTCCACGAACCTTAAAACTGGGCCAAGTGCCCCAAAAAATTCAACTTCCGCCACCAATTATCAAATTTTGGGGGAAAAAATTGGTCCCTGGGAGCTCTTCCTAACCCCAAAAATGGGGGGGGGGGCCCACCAACACCGAAGGGGGGGGGGGCCCCC